ACACACGCACTTGCAGCAACAGAAAGGAGAGAGTGTATAATGCGCGTCGGTTCTTTTACTTGTTTGCAACTGGCCAAGCGTACGTACAAGAGAGCGCGTGTGCATATTTCGTTCTCTCTCTCACGTAATAAAATATTCCGCGCGCACCGCCTGTAAGTTATAATTAGCTCATTTATTTAATTATGACGAGAGCCGCTCTTGGTGTTTACATTTCCTTTTTCATACAAAAAGAGGTTGGAAAAATATAAATTTCCGAGGAGAGAGAGAGCGAAATGAGAGCCGTTGTGCCGCGCGCTGAATTTTACATTCATCTTTGCAGGCTCTCTTTTCGCTCACTCAACTCGCAGGCACGATTTTCTTCTGGCTGCTTGAATTTTTGATTAGATTTTAATTCAATTTAGTCTTAATCATAAATTCTATTATAACCCCTGCCTGCCTGCCTCGCGCGCAACTTGCTGGTTCGTTTCGCTCTCATTCCGTGTTTTATTATTACTGCTGCGCACACACACACACTCGCCGCGTACGTATATAAAGAGTGGATGCGTGCAATTTATAATGCAAAAAGGAAAATAAAAATTGCCCGCGTCAATTATTCAGCTACATTTCTCTGCTGGCGGCGCTGCACTTTTCCGACGAGCTCGACGCGCGCCGCACCGAATCCTCATGAATGAATCATCCGCCGTTTTTTCATCAACTCGATTAATCACTTATTCAGCGCTGCGAAATTTCGCGTCGGAGAGATACCAAGTTCGGCTGTGCACGCTTCCCGGTTTTGTGCGAAACACGTCAATTCTGCATTAAAGATCAAGGAGAAACGAGACGGCTTTCAAAATTGCAAAAAAAAAAAAAAAAACACGCGCACACACACGTATGGGAGTGGCAATTAATTAAGGCGTTTAATTGAGGCTTGGTATTTAATTGAAATACGCGGCGACTCTTCTCTCTCTCTCTCACTCGCTCTTCCCAATTAATTATCATTATATAAAAATTCGCTCGGCACCGAAAATTATATATTTTTGCGGTTGGAAAGGAAAAATTTATTTCTAAAATTTGCTTTTCAAATGTAAAAAGCAAAACATTGTCACATATGTACATCATAAGGTAATGAGTTCCTCTTCAAATTTATTCATCTGATTCATTTTTCATGCAGAATTACATGAAAATCACACACATTCGGGAGGTTCGTTTTCCACGGCAGTTTCTCTTGGCACGTGCGCCTTTGATGAAATAAATATAAATAATGTGATGTTTTCTATTCACATTTTAACTTGCTCAGAACAGTTTTGAAGAGTTCAAAAATTAAATCAAGGTTTCAATCAAAAATTTAATTATTGCAAAGTTTGAGCATTTAAACAATGTTAAAAATAATAATAATAAATTTTTATTTCACTTGATAATTTTCATTCTCTTCTAAGACAACTTTTTTATACTTTAAATTGCAATCGGGCCAAGACAAATTGAAAATATAAAAGGACAACTGACCCCAAAGGTGACCTGCTGTCTGCTGATACTTTAAAAACCTAGGGTTTTAGGGTTTAACTAAAATGAAGTAAGTGGGAGGAGTTTATAAAAAAAAAAACTCATAATAGAATAAGATGGAAATGAAGATTCGGGCTTTTCCATGATCATCTCCTCGAGTGTCAACTTCTTCAAAACAAAATAGAATAAGATGATTTCAATTTAATTTAAAAAAAAAAATGCATCTTTCTGTTTATTGCACTGGAAATGTCTGGAAAATTCACAGTATGAAGTTACAGCATAATTAGTTTCTGCATTTTTGTTTTGTTTATTAAATTTAATTTTCTTTATAGGTTCTTTCCATTTAGTTTTATTTTCCTAGGTTTTCAAAATGTCAGCAGATAGCAGATCGCCTTTTAAGGTCAGTTGTCCTTTTTTTGGCAACAGTTTCAATTTTCTGGAAATCCACCGCGATAGTTCACCATAAATTTTATACTTTTCTATCATTTGTTGCAGTTATTAATCGTAACATAAGGAATTTTAAATAGTAAAATTGATAAGATAAAACTCATAAAAATTTTGTGCTTTTGCGAAATCAAAAAGTTTCAACTTCCCTCAATTACAATTGTTAAATGTCAATTGTCTCATCACAAAATTGAGACTAACAATTGTAACACATTTAATATAAAAGTTATAATAATAATAATAATAATAATAATAATAATAATAATAATAATAATAATTAAAAAAAAAACGATGAAGCACAAATACAGAAGCAAAGTCAATTGAATGGTTAAGAATGCTTATTTCAATAGGGCTATTTTGAGATAAATTTAGCTTTGATCCTTAATCGATTCCCGGGTTCAAAAGAAATACCAAATTTCCAGAGGTCACTTTTGACGATAAAACTGACATTTTATCAATGTTTTTTTTTGGTTATAAAAAAAATATTTTGTAATATTATCACTATATCGTCTTTTACAAAATTCGATACACAAAATCCATTATATATTCTGTCCGTAGAAAATATTATATTACATGTTGTTATGTTTTGCTCTGCGAACAGGAAAAGAAACTTGGTGGAAGTTGTGACGCTGAATAAAAGGCGGTGTGCGAAATGAAATAACAAATAATAATAAAAGTTGAAAAGGTGTCGCAACGGCTGTCGCGCTCGGAAAATATACAAAAATATGAATAAACGCGGCGGTGGAAAATCAATACACGGCAATAATTAGCTGCCACAGCAGAGAGGAGCGAATTTATTCTTGTTTCAAATTATATATACAAAAAAAAACTGCTGCTTTTCTTTTGCACAAGCGAGAGAGAACGACGGTGGTCTCTGAATTAAAAAAGTTTCTTTAAAATATTGGCTCGGCGGTCGGGGAGAAAAAGAACGCGAGACTTGGCGCTGCTCAATGGCTTTTGTTTTTAAATTATAAAAAAGGGGTGCGCGCAGCAGGAAGGCGGGGGTTGTTTTTGTTCCGCGGCACCCATGCCTCTCTGCCGCACGCGTGAAAAATATATATATACATTTTATGTTATTAGTTTTATCACGATTTATGATTTTAATGAAAAACTTTTGCCCGCCATTCCGAAATCATTAAAATCAAGAGCTGCTTTTGCTATAAATAAATAAAATTCCCAGGCAGCACCGATTTCCCCTTTCACGCATCCAATTCGGGATAATATAAATAATTTATCCAATCTTGAATCAAAATCTACCTGGCGCTGCCGGCGAGCATTCAAAATTTATTCCGAAAGATAAATAAATTATTAATCTGGCCTTCAACTGACTGCGCCGAGCGCAAATAATTCAGTGAGGTCTAAATCTATATCCATTAATATTTCATCAATGCCTACTAATGTGCATACACTTTTAATTTATAATTCATCACAATGGCCCCGTCTTCTCATTACTATACATACATTCTGTACATGCATTATCCACCAAATGCTCGCTCGCTCGCTCACTGGTTCGCTCTCGTCAAGCGCTCTCCGCTTTTCAACTCTTGCCTTGTGTTTGTGTGCACATATGTAATGTCTTATATTATGTATTTGCTGCCGTTCAACGCGTTTTGTGCACTCTGAAATTTATGCATGACTCGAAAATCAGAATTGCCAACGATCAGAGAGCGCGCTCAGGATAGGCGGAAGTGATGAAAACAACGTGCAACGACGACTCCTAACCTACAAATTAAACGCACAAAAATGTGTCCGACATGTGTTGAAAAACTGTAAATTACTTTTAACTATGTTTCAAATTATTTCTCCAGTATTTCATCATTTAAATATTTCCAAATATTTCATCTTGAAAAATTTCAAAATGTAGATAAAGCCGATAAAGCGGTAAAAGTATCACGTGAAAAGATTTTACAAAAACTTTATAATCTTTTAATAAAAAAAAAAATTAAGACGCACTCTATATAGTTGTAAATGATATGTATAGACTTTTTAACTTTTCTATGACACACGCGATTAACATCAACAAGGCCAAAGTAGAATGTTCCACAAGTTCAAAAAAGTCAAACTATTTATGTGGTATTGTTAAAAAAAATATTTTTTTATTATTCCATTTAATTAATTGTGCAAAAGTAATTTTTATTGGTCAATTTACAATCATAATTCAATTTTTTTTTTTTTTAATTATGGGGAGAGATTTTTTGTCAAGTACTAATGTCCTTTGAATTTCAATGAAGCGCAATATGAATCAATAATATTTCCAAATATTTCATCATATTTAAAAAGTTTAAGAAGTAGATAAAGCCGATAAAGCGGTAAAAATATCACGTAAAAACGTTCAATGTTTAAATTGGCCACCGCCGAAAATCAACGCAATTAACCAAATGGAAAGAGCACCAACACTTCGAAATTGCCAAGGGAGGGAAAATCAATTAAAGTTTTAAAAATTATTTAATTAAAAACTTCAGTTAATTTTCAGCGACTTTATTAAATTTGCAATACGTTTTTGTATAATTTTTTATTCAATTTGTATAATTTAAAGTATATTGAGCTTGTAAAATACTATATAATACATGGATTTTTTCTCGACCAATTAATAATAAGTCTATGGCAGAGAATCCCGATAAATAAACTGCAATAAAGAGTTATTTAGTGTTTTTGGAGTAATAATTTTAATGCGGTTTACAAACTTAAATAAGGTTGCAATTAAAAATATGTAACATAATTATTAATTTGGTATAAATGTTTCAATTTGCTGGTTAATTTTCAAATCTTATTTTCAATATTTTGCTTTTAAATATCTGGAAACTGAAACCTGGAACAAATTTAAACTTTTTATATTGTTAATTGCAAATGATTTTTTTAAATTATATAGTTTACGTCTTTATCTGACATGATGTATACGGAATTAATAAATGATAACCTTGGGAAAATTCTGGTAAACAGAAATAGGCCGATGACATAAAAGCTAAGACTTTGAGCAAAGGTATAGACTATTATAAAGATTTAGACTAAAAAAGTCTAACACTTGCCGACTATATATAGGGAGAGTGATGAAGATGACGTCATGCAGCAGCAGCGTGCTTCTACCAAAGAGAGCCAAAGCCTTCGCACACCACTGTGCCATTTGTGAAACATATATTCTAGTGATGGAAAAGTTTAAGCATCAAAACGTAGACAGTAAGCACTCCGCCTCACAATCAGGAAATATACCTGAAAGGTTAGTCAAATTGAATAAATAATTTTTTCCAATTAAAACTAAAGACAACTTGACTCTTTAAGGAGGCAATTTCAACATGCGTCTACATCGAGAGAAAAGCAGCAAAATTTTCTTTGTGATGGATTACAGTTAATTTTAAAAATCGCACTGCACCGCCTGTTCACTTTCCCTTTAAACTTTGAAATCGATCCTGAACCACTGGCAGAAGCTGGACTTTTTTATGATCAAGATAAAGAAGCAATCAAGTGCAACTTTTGTAAGTTTGTAACCAAAGATACAACATGCTTGAGAGGAAAGACTGCGTACGAAATTTTGAAAATGACGCCGAAATGCGTCATCAACAAAAGATCATCTAAAAATGTCCCATTGGGAAACATTGAAAGTGTTTTGAATTACAAATATGAATCTCACCGACTTTATTCGACGCTGAAAAAGAAGGATTGGAGATTTGTGACGCCCGTCGATTTGGCAAAATCGGGATTTTACTACAGCAGCCAAGAGGATAATTGTCGCTGCATTTATTGCAATTTGGAGGTGCGCGGATGGGAAAAGGGAGACACACCCGACGGCGAACACAAACGGTGGAATGAAAACTGCCCCTTTTTGAGAAATCCAGGCGGCGTCGTCAACATAAAAATTGGCGAGGAATTAATTGAACAAAATTGCGACTCCATTGGACAAATCAAACTTGGAACAAACCCAATCGACGTTAAGTCGCTTGAAGAATATCAAAATATGGAAGAACCGTCGCAATAAAATTGGACAGCCATTTTATCACGGCCTCTAATTTGAATATCCACAACTGCACTTCACCGAAGCACCCTGGAAAAATTTTAATTTTGGATCGTCTAAAAACTTTCAAGAATTGGCCTAAAGAACTTTCCCAAACGCCGGAAGATCTCGCAAATTCAGGATATTATTACACCAAAACTGGAAACCGAGTTGTTTGTTTCCACTGCAACCTTGGCCTGAAGGACTGGGCGCACGGCGATGACCCTTTCAGGGAACACGCCAAGTGGAACTCGGGGTGCCAACACCTCATCATGCAAAAGGGCTCAGATTTTATCAGACAAATTCTGCACGGAAACATAAACCAAGAAAATGAGCAAATGATGGAGACGACCACTTCTTCCTCCAATAATCTTCTTTGTTTAAATTGTAATATTCATCGCGTGTTTAAAGTTAATTTGCTCTGCGGACACGTCAAACCTTTGTAGTAAATGTAATACTGACAGGTGTGCTAATTCATAGTGTAGTCAAAAATTCTGGCTGAAATTTCCATTTTTCTTTGAGCTGTGTTTTTATTTTTTTATTAATAAAACTAGTATAATAAACCCTAATAAAGTTTTTAATTATAAAAAAATGTGGTTTAGAATATATATAATAATAGTTTTTGTTAATTAAATATTGCTTTACGGATAGATACAGATGTGCAACTAAGTAATAAAAATTAGGAGGACTTGAAATTTGTTTAAAAATAACTCTTTATATTGGCTCTATGTTTCCTAAAAAGCAGATTAAGATAAAACCCGCTATATTATCCGTTAAATTTTTGTAAATATCTTTTCACTCTATGAACAAAATTAAGTTATTCATCATAGACTTTTTAACTTTGACTTTTATATGACACACGCGATGGAAATCAAGAAGGTCAAACTAGAACTTTCTATATGTCCTATATGTTATGTAACAGTTTATGTAGAAAACTGCAAAATAGATATAATTTTCATTTTAACACGTCATAACATTTATTTGAAATATTCTGAAAAAGAAAAAAATTATTTAGATCATGCATCTTCCACTTATCCATGCTTACACTATTTTGATCATGTACAATCAAAATTTTCATGGTAGAGCAAGATTTGATGGTATGAATATTTGTAACCCTTATTTGCATCCATTTGAGAGTCGCTGCAAGCCCTTAAATACTTATGATATTGTTATATGCATAATCCCTATCGATTTTTATTCATTTTATGATCTGAAATGACCTGTTTAAATATAAAACAACGTTTATTTTATAATTTAATTTTTTTTTGTTATTTTAAATATTAACAAATTTAAATTTTATTTATTAAAATTTTTATTTTTTGTTATTAATTTTTATTTAAAAATAGTTTTATATTATGATGATTTCAATAAGTTTAGATTAAAAAAATTTCTTGAAAATTTTCAAATAAACATGCAAAATATTTTTAAAATATGCGCAACCAGCATAATTCAATGTGATTAAATTGAGATAGAAAATCTATCATAGTATGTATAGTTGGTTCCCTGCGGCTCCCTGCACTTATTAATGTGATTAATTTAAGTAATAATTTTTGTTAAATCATTCCTTCGCCTTTACTGTGTAATAAGTGATATTAAATAATATTCTCTCTGTCGTAATCAACTCATTAACGACCGGGTCAAATGCAAGATTGAATAGGAAATAGAAACAATTGGTAGAAAAAAAAATTGTAAGTTATGGAGATAATCAAGAAACTCGTTTACTGAATCTGCAAATCTCTTATATAATAATTATATTTCTGTGATCAAAATTCATATATCAAAATGTTTTAATCTAAAAATGTTCTCCATGTTTTCTATTAAAAATTATTATTCTTTGTTTATTTTACCCAATTTCAGCAAAACATTTAACATTCAAAGTAATTGCTGGGAGGAAAACATTGAATTATTGGGCCACAAAACGATTTTGTTAAAACTCCCCATATCAAAAAGACACATTTATTTGACGCTTTGAGACTTTAAATTTCCAAATGAATGGCAGAAGATTTAATGTATGAATACAAATTTAAAATTATATTTTGTGATCTGTACTCTGTAGGCGTTAAATTAGAAAAAAAAAAAACAAATTGTATCATTATAAACTTGCTCAGAAACAGATTAATTCAAATTTGAAAAAAAAAAATAGACGTTCACCCTCATAAAGTCAAACAAGGAATACTTTAGTGTGGCAAAAGGAAGGCTTGCCTGGTACAAAGGCAAACTTTTCTATCAAACGACGCACCGCTCGCCAATTTCTTAACCCAATTAGCCGGTTGGAAATGGATGTTCGTGCGGTGGTTTTCTTGGGCCCGGCGCTATGTTGTATTAATATATGCATGCGCGTACATCTTTGGTCTACTCAAGTATAAATTAATACATGGCCTATGTAGTGGAATATGTTGGCGGGTAGAAATATAGTTAAGCAGTCGGCCGTGTTCCGCCGCCGCGTATATATTAATTCGCGCAAGAGTTTCGCTCTCTCGCATACGCTCCACTTCAACCCTTTATACTTCTCAATCCCAACACACTTTAAGCTAAAAGATTAAATTTCCCCTCTCGAGCTATACAAAACTAATTTCAAGCGGCAACCCCCCTGAATTATGTCTTATGGAGCGGCAAAACAGCGACTTCTCTAAAACACCTGCTTGCAGCGCGCCTGCAACGTAGACCGCCCGCCCGGCGCGTACCTGCCGAAATTTTATGGCTGCCAAATTTCGACGCAGAATTGAATCAAGTGGTTATATGACTCGGCACGTCTGCCTGTAAACATTTAGCTCTGATTTAACACTGATAAAAAAACGCAAGATTTTGCTTCAATTTATTTTCCTAAAGGGCAATCAGATTGCTAAAATTTTGGTAAACACCCTAAAATATACAATTAAATTATATAAACTTTAATGTTTGCTCATTGCACTCGATGAATAATTAGAATAAACACGAATTTTCACGCATAAGTCAAAATCTTGATGTTTTTTTTAGTTATTCTATACATGCTTTTTTGAACGATTTGGTTTCCTCTGAATACATAAAATATTTTATGGAAATTGTATTAAATAATTGGAAGCCGCCCGAAATAATGATTTTTCATCAAATTTGCCGTTAAATTTTTTATCAATGAACTCAATTTCATTCCTATCGATCTCCTTTCTCCTATTTTTCAACCAGAAATTAATAACATGCATAAAAAATAGTAACAATAATAATTGGGTAGTGCCTTCTGCTTCACTAATAAACGGCACAGGCCGACCAGACTTTATCTTATTAAAAAATAAAATCTCTAAAAGGATTATTAAAGTTGAGAATAGATACATTTACAACCGAATAATTATTATTTAAATTGTATCTATTGGAATTGTTATTTATCAAATTATCTCCAATAATTTTCATTGAAAGGAATTCAACTGAGGATGGGAACGACAGCAAATATTTAAGTTTCCATGTGTTGCACACTTAATTACAAGTAATGAACCAGCTTAATTTATTTATTGTAAATTTAGACAATTGATATTATTTTATAATTTAAATTTAGGTAACTTTTGTATTTAAAAATACTTCAAATGTTTTAATAGTAAAATAATAGCAATATATTGTTAAGAAATTAATTATGCAAAATATTTTTCGTAATTCTTTTTATTGATTAATTTAAAATATATTTTATTTTTACAATTTAATTTTTTTTTTTTTTTAGGGTCAGGCCAAGACAAAGTCTTGTCGGCCTGTGCCCTTTATTGGTGGTACAGAAGGCACCACCCAATTAATTTTTTTTTTTTTTTTTTTGGGTTCAACTAATAAATATTTCATCTGACCTGTGAGGAAAATTGACCGCAATTCTTGTATCTTAATGCATTTTCTTATTCAAATGTTGCGTTGTAAAATTATTAAGACCAGGAAATAATGACGACGATCAAAAAGATCAACTTACATATTTATAAATAAAAAACTATTCAATTTGAATATGCCGGTCCAGTCGGCCTGAACCAGGTTCGGTTCTCATTTAGTTTTTACTCAAATTTATGCAACAAGCCAGGGTGTGTCCGAATCGAAATGAACCTCCGAAATTTGATTGATGCTTAACTCGGTCAAATTGAACAAGCAGCAAACGGAAAAAAGTAGAGGACGCGCCGGTGTCGGTCTCGTCATGTCGCAGATAATAAATGACAACGATGCATATCATAGTTTTGTCGCTGCGCGCCGGATAAAATGTAATACACGCGGCGAGCCCATCACGAGTGAGTTAGTGCGATGCAAAATTGATGGCGCCGCGCGGGTTTTGATACTCGTGACTCACACTTTGCTTTTGATGACGCTGAAATTCTCTCCAAATACATAAATTTATTAATAAACATTAAAGCGAGAGGGAATGTAATAATGTTATATTACCAATAAAAAGAACGGGTGTCTCTCTTTGAAGGGGTGAGTTTTGTCCGCACCCGTCTGTCTCCTGCTTGGTCGGGGGAGTTTTTAACAGCAAACACCCCACATACAAATACTCAAGCTATTTATTTTAATATTTAATGTTTTATCATAGGCGGCGGCGGCCTCGGCTGTGTGTGCAATATTTATCGATTCATTTTCTCGCTCGAGATTTAAATAATTAATGCGCGCACACATGCTGCACATTTTCTATTCATCCGCCGCGTTTTCTGCCTGCATTTTTAATTGACGTGCAAACACTTTGACACAAAGAAATACCTTTCTCAAGTGGTTCAAAAAATTACCTTCAAATCTCTCTATTTTTGGAGGCTTTAACGAGACACTCCTGAATTTAATTACACGCACAAAATTTATATATTAGTATTTTTAATATATTAAATCCTTTTTTAATGAATTAACCTCAATTTGCTTTTTACTTTTAATGATTGCTAACATTTTATGTAATTACGATATTAAGTTTAGCATTTGATAAAATCAGAAGAGAGCAGCATGAATCATGTGTAATAATTACAATAGTCATTGGCCAGGATTATCAGAGTAAAGCTTATATATTCCTTTGCTTGTTATAGAAATTTATGAATTATTTATTTCTGTGAGTTATATGGTATGTTATACCTAGAAATTAATGTTCATTTCAAAAATTTATAAATAGTTAAATAAGCCAAATTAAAAATTGTAAATAATATAAAATAAACACAAAAACTACTGTTGGAAAATAATTAAATTAAATCTATATTTATATAAAATAATATTAAATGTTGACTATTTAAAGTATTTCATGAAACATTCTATTGCTTGAATTAAAAATAGTTGTTATTATTCATTATTATTTATTTTGGACATAAGTAGAAGCGGCATGCGTATCAGGAAACAGTCTCGGAGTTTGTTCTCCGCGCTTGAGTTGTGTATTCTCAAGCTTTGCCGGATCTCAATCTTCCTGTTCTCTTTTTTCGTCCATAAAAAATGAAGCACAAAAGCGCGCGCGAGCCGAGGATCGGCGTCTTGTGCTCTTCTTGCTCCTCGCACACCGCACAGACACTCCTTAAGCCAGAAAAACCAGCCTTCGCTCGCTCATCTATAAATCAATGGCGCGTGAAATATTCATCCAAAAGCATATTCCTTTCACACCCGCGTGATGTATATCTATGAAATTGGGATGAATGTTTCACAATTCTGGGGAAAACGTCCAGAAATATACCATTTCTCGTCTCTACATGGCGTACGTCTTGCGCATCACGATCAAGGCGAGAGACTTTTTCGAGTTTGTCCGTTCATAGTGATAGGGTTAGATAAATAAGTATATGATCGACTCTAACTTAAAGTATAATATCCATCAGGTGACTTCAGTGCACGCAGTTCTATGTCTATTTGCACGTTTCAAGTTTCTCAATCATTGATAATAATTTTATAGATTTTATTTTTAATAAAGTGTATTTATTTTAAATGAAGATATCGGGCTTTTCCTGGTTGCAAAAATCATTTTTATTCAAAAACAAATCGGCTCTATCAGTTTCGGTCACGGTCAGCGACCCTATACGCGCTTCTTGCTGACTAATACAAGAAAAAATAAAATTTATAGTTTAAATTATTAGATTAGAATTATTTCAAATATTTTTAGGCTTAAATAACGACTTCAGAGAAGGAGAGTTTTTGATGAGTCAATGCTGTTTTCCAAATTATGATTGTCAGTGTTAACACATTCTTTATATTTATTTAATTATAGCATGTTAAAATAGTCATAAAAGTTAATAATTGATTTTTATTTAAAAAAGATTATTATTTGTTTATAAATTAAAAAAATAAACAAAAAATTAATATAATATGGCTTTAATTAGTATTTCTTTATCATTTGACTAAAAATTTATTTTATTAATTATGTTCTTTGCTTTAAAAAAAAACGGTTGCTTAAAAAAGAAATATTCTGGGCAATCAGTAAATTATTTGTACATGCATGCAATTATTTCGTCATTGTAATTAAAACGTCTAAACTTTTTATTTAACTGATCAGCAATCAATTGACGAGCTTCGTGAGTGTATTGCCGGAATGAAAATTGCCTAAAATAAGGTGTGCTGAGGATGATCATTTAACTTTTTAAATATTTTTCTTATCCCTAAGAATTTAAAACATTCCACATTAATTTATTTGCTTTTGGCTGCTAATCCTAAAATAGCCAATTGTGTAGTTCAAATTAGGTAAATTAAATTTCGTACAAGCTTTGTTCCAAACATTTATTTGTAAATCAATTACCCTGGAGGGAAAATTAATTTTAGTAAAACTTAAAGACGAATATTCTCTAAATTTTCCAAAATCTTTATAAAATTTTACAAAAATGCTATATTTCTTAATTTTTTACTATTCCGTTTATATGCCGCATTTTTTACTTTCCAGAACCATGAAAAAATTTTTCTATATTGTAAATAACCTTGAATTAAATTGAAAGCTCGAAGTTTTATTTTTAATGTTGAAATTTACTAAAAATTACATTGAATTTAAAATATAAAATTTTAATAGCTACGTGACAACTACTTTGAGTGGTTAGTGCGTTGATTCATGGGCCCAATTTCATAAACACAATTATTCCTGAATAATTTCATCTTTCTTGTCATTTTTCCTTTCCAAGGTCGTGTGTTGAGCACACAAAGGCAGAGGAATGCAAAAAGCGAGAGAGTGTGTGGGCGACCGGCCGAGCGCCTCCGACCCTCCCTCTTTTCCTTCTCGATCGCCAAGAGCAAGCGCCGGCGTGTTCCAGATTCCAGACAGTCCAGACCAGATCCAGTCTCGCTTGAAGAAAAATCGGGCAAAACTGACAGAAATCAAACCGCATTCGCCGACCGAATCACGAAGAAAAATGGATTTTCTCACCGCGGAGACCACGCTGACGAGTCCGCGCTCAAGACTTCACCCAAGGTAGGTCCCATTGAGGCCCATAATTAATCGAATTGCATGCATTTTTCCATGTGCACGGCGCGCGTGTTTTTGTCAGGCAGCAATAATTTTTTTGTAAATCTGCGTATACGAGACACGAGACCGCTATGAACGTAGCTCAAATGGGGACTAAAGACACTTTGCTTTTCCGCAAGATAAAATATTTATTTTAAGCGCGTTAAATATCGGGGAATTAATTAAATAAGTGTGGAGAAATATTAATATTAGCATCACCTTTACTTCACCTGTAATCCCCTCTCGCCCCTTTCTTGGTGCTCGCGCTTCCGGCCGCAGTCGCAGACATGGCGGCGCTGTCGCTTGTGTGATCCGCGTGATCGCTGGCATTTTCTCCACGAAAGCGGCTCTCTCAGGGTTTTTCAGACCTGTCCACCGCATGGAAATTGAGGCCTGACCCCACCCTGACCCCAAGGTACTGTTTCAACGGCGCCCCGTCTCATAAATCGCGTGCGTTTGTCAGTTGAAAAATTGCTTTTCGATTCATCAACTTTGTTTCATCATTCCTGAACTTTGCTCGTGAAATCACTTCCAGTTTTACGTTGACGGAGCGCGGCTATTCCAAAAATTTCGCAATTTCAGTTCTGATTTTGGTCGTTAAATTCGAATTTTCAAAAACTTTAAATACCTGCCCTCTCCGCGCGTCTCCTTGTTTTTATTTGAATATAAAAAAAGTACATTATAATGTAGTTTTAACACAAAAAGATGAGAGTAATGCATATTTAGTTTCCTCTTCAAAATAAATTTTTAATTTTTGAAAATTTTAAGCAGGTCACTCGGACCACAACACAACAAGTGGGCAGCGGCCGCGTGTTCAGCGTTCAGCCTTGCTGGAACAAAATGGCTTTCTTCGGAAAACGCTCGCAGACGGCTTTGTCCAACAACTTCGACGACGCCATGGGCAGCAACCAGGGTCATCGACAATACTTTTTTTGGTGAGATTTGTCCTTTTAACTATCACAGGATCATTGAAATCATTTTTTATCATTTAATTGTTTTGTTATTTTTCTCTTGCATAATGTTGAATGGGCATAGCCAATCAATAATAAATCTTCAACCAGCTTTCCTGCAATTGAAATAAAATATTTTATTTATTATAAAAAGGGTTTCAAGCGGATTTAATATTTTGCATGGAAGTTTATAGTGCAATTATTTATTTTAAAGTATAAGAAAAGGGAACTCGCCCAAATTTTACACTCTAAATTGAATTTATTTTAATAAATTCTCAATTCTTTAGGCCTCTCAAAACCAATCCAATGACAACATTGAGCGGCAGAAATGGAAAAATGTGAACCTTTCGAGGTTGTGATGTCCTATCATGCACCGTTCGGTCATCAGGCGAACCAATGCCAGTCGAAATCTCCCCAAGGTTGTTGCAGAGCAGTGAGCCAGGTCAGTGCATTAGGAGTTTTTTTGCCTTTTAAATTTTATAGAAGCGCTTTGGCCAAAGATTAGTCTCACACCTTCAATCAAACCTAATTCAAATTTGAAGATATGATTTTCATGATTCCAATTCTATTTTAATTTAAAAAAATCTCATTGAATCATAAAACAAATTCTAAATTGTATATCAAAATAAATGCAAGCCTTATTACATTCAAGATTATTATATTATTTATGAGAACAGCATCCTCGGCATTTTATAATTGGAATATTAATTAGAATTATTGAATTCAATCAGGTCGAAGAGAAACGCCACTCGTCAACAGTGCAGTTTGAGGACTTGGCAGACACCGCTAGTCAAGTTTTGAAACCTGCAGAAGGCAGAGCTCCTATGACCTGAAGTAGGTTTAAATAAATTCTGCATGCGACGATCAAGACAAGTAAAGTGACAAGGTTGAGTTGTGCATGTGCCAAGGATAGGCGCAACATCCTTTTTTTACCAGTTTTGCCTGAGAGCCAAATGTTTCCATTTTTATTACACTGTCGAATAATACATTTAAATTTAAAAGTTAATGAATTGGCAACTGGTTGAATTTTGTCCTTATTACTACAAAAAATGTATGAATCAAGCAACTGCACTTGTGCCAATTATCTTTTTGTAATGGAGTGGCGACACCCCCGCAACAGATACCGGTCCAACGGAGCGGACAACAGCTGAAGGCCGCCCCTAACAGGGGACGTTGCCCGCCACCGCTGGCAATGCGTCGTCTGAATGGCTTGTGTGTGAATAATGCCGAGGCATCACAACCACCCATTGGGCTTCTGCATTCGCCATGCGGGAACACGATTTGGTGTCCAGGGCTTGGTTGCGACTAAAGTCCTGTGTGAACGCATGGGAGGTGCGGAGAATTCATATGACACTGATGCTGACGTGGTGCACTCATGAGATTGACTTGTCATGAGTGTGGCAATGGGCGTGAAAGAGGTTGGGTTCGTTGCTGGCACCCTTGTGTAGTCCAGTATTTTTGGTCACGCCGGGCTTGCCTCCTCGAACACCTTCCACGTTGCGCAACCGGGAGCCCCTGCCCCCGAACAATAGCCGGAAGTGAGTCTCAGTACCGCGGATGTCTGCTTAAGTTTGAAGGGATGTCAAACCACTCCACTTTAAAAATTCTTTATTCAAAAATGGCCAAATAACTTATTAAAACTAAATGCATGTTTCTTTGAACTTTAAGGACGGCTTTTGCATGAACAGTGAGTGAAGTGCAAGTGGTTTTTTTTTTGTAACAAAAAAATTATGATTGAATAATCTAATTTAACTGGCAAAGTCAAATGTATAGATTGCTTTCCTGTAATTTTTCCGAAAGTTGATTTTAGATGGTTTACAATAGGACTGTATAATGCAGAAAGTTTTCTGTTTACAAGCTAACGAATGACTCTGAATGGAGCAAACTATAAAAATAAATTTTTTTTTTTTAAATTCCATCATCAAATTTTCTGGCCATTACTTTTGTATCGTAGAATATGAATGCAAGGATTAAAAATTACAAGTATTTTGAGCAGCTACGGCGCATGAAAAAATGATAGTAATGCTTTGTACACGAAATATCAAATGTGACCAAATCAATTGGCTAAGTGTTCTACAAACGAACTGAAATATAATTTCTTGTTAGATAAAGTAGGTAAAATGAATGCTGTTACTATAAATAGTGAAAATAGAATTTTAAAAGTGAAAAAAAGTGCTAGTGAGAATAGTTCAGTAGTTTGAAAGTAGTGCATGTGAAATAGTTTGTGTGTTTGGGTAACACATTTATATTATTAGATTTTTCGTTAAAGTGTGATAATAATTTTGGAAGTTCTTTAGTTTATTTCCACAGATCCTGCCTGAGCTTGTCAACTTGAAGGGCGGTTTTGGATTCAGCACCAATGGTGGGACCGCGATGCCTCCTTGGAAAAACAGTTTGCGAGAACGCTTGCCATCTTCGCACTCTCGAATTTTCCCAACAACTCTGGAGATGCCGTGACCGACAGCCAGATGGACGTCTTTGAAAAAAAAAATGGTGAGATTTCCATTTTATATTATATTATTGTTTCTTTATTGCATTATGGAATGTTTATATTTCAAGTATCAGAATTTTAGTTTTCGGACTATTTTGTGCATGCAATGCAAGCTACACTAAAACATATCAAATTTGGCACAAATCAAGCAATTTAGAGTTGAATTGCAACCACTTAAAAATACTATCTGGGGCTTATAAAATTGAGTATCTCTCATTAAAATGCAACCTACTTCAATGATTAAAAATTTCCAAGTTTTTTGTAAACAAATTTTATTATTCGAGCATTTTTATTCAATGAAGAATCCACAAGAGTAATTAAGTGTAAAGAAAAATTGAATATGAATAACCTTGAATTTAATTCAACGCTCAAGGTTTTATTTTTAATTTTTAATTTACAGGAGCCCCCTCACGAACCCTGCCCTTTTGTCCCGCCCAGAGCCGGCCTTCCCCACGTCCTCGACCTCGCTGCGCCTCCACCCCTCGCTCGCGGCTTTTGCAAAAATTAATCTTGGGGGGTTGCCCACCTCCGAGTTGCCGGTTTGTGGGGTAAGATTACCGAACTTCACTTCAAGATATTTCAGAAATTTAAATTTCCAAATTATTAAAATTGAGATTCTGACTAGATGATTTTCAGCTTCTCATGATATGAACTTTGACTGGTAAAAATTCAGCTTTCACATAATTTGTTCCGGCTCAAAACTTGTCATGACTTGGACTATATTTTGGATTATTTTTGGTAACCAATTCGTCCGTAATTAGCAGCACTTAAAATTTGACGGACCGCGCGAAGGGCTGGAAGACGAAAATTAATGCACGCACGGCAAAGTGGTCCTTGCGGCGGTGTCGGCGAGAGCGAGGTCGGCGTGCGGCGAGTTGCGGCGCGGCAGGGGCGTCGCGGAGGGGCGTCGTGGCGGCGGCGGCGGAGGGGCAGCGCGACGGCGGCCGCGGCGAGTCGCGAGCAGACAGAAGGGCACCGCGGTGCGAGGCGCGAGCACCCACACCTCCGAGCCGCACCCGTCGACGCACTCACGTGGACCCCAGTCAGCTGCGAGTGATGGCCGCCCCCGCCGCCTCCGTGGCCGCCTCGATGGCCGCAGCCGCCGGCCCGCCGCCGCAGCAGTTCTGCCTGCGCTGGAACAACTACCAGACCAATTTGACCACCGTTTTCGACCAACTGCTGCAGAGCGAGGTGTTCGTCGACGTGACCCTCGCGTGCGACGGCCACTCCGTCAAGGCGCACAAGATGGTCCTGTCCGCCTGCAGCCCCTACTTCCAGTCGCTCTTCTTCGACAACCCCTGCAAGCACCCCATCGTCATCCTCAAGGACATCAAGTGGCCCGAACTCAAGGCCGTCGTCGAGTTCATGTACCGGGGCGAGATCAACGTCCTCCAGGAGCAGATCGGTCCTCTCCTCAAGGTACTTGTAACTCTTTTTTTGGTTTTAATTTCAGAAATCTTACATGTGACGTCGGTTGTTTACTTTTATTCAACTGTCAGTCTTGAGAATCAATATAATTAATTATATACAATTCTAATAAGTGTTTTTGTTGCAAGACAATTGTCTTAATTAAAGAATTGTGTATTAAATTTTAGGTACTTCCACTGGAAAACCATTTTTGAGAATTAATTGCTTAGAGTCATTTTGATAAAAATGAAATAAATATTTTTTATGTTGAAAGTATTAAAAATAACATTAATTAGAAACTTCTAGATTTTAATATGTATCAGAAAACTATGTTGATTATTAAAAACACTTGACATAGGGGGATTCCCATTTGCGTCTTTCTTATCTTAATTAATATTGATATAATCTATATGAATGGATTTGTTTCCGTAATTTATATCTTTGATAAATGTCCAATTTTGAGTGCCATGACAAGTTATCGCAAAATTTTTCTTCAACCTCTACAATGAAATTGCTTTTTTCTCATATGCAATTGTATTGTTCTAAGACAAATATAATTATATATATAAAAAACTAGTCTTTGCCCGTACCTTCAATATAAATGTCATTCAGGTGTTGATACTAAAATATTTAATATTTAATTTACTGTCATTATTATGCTAATTATTACCGTTTTTATATATCATTTACTTTCTTTAAACTAATTCCACGTCTGCATTTCATTGCGTTTATTAGCCTCTTGCAAAAGATGACAGGCAATAATTGCGAATCAAAATATGTATTTGATAAATTTGATTAAGAAGGTTAAACTGGTTAGACTTGCCGCGACAGTTGTAAAACCCTAAAGGATGGTCTAGACACAAAGTTGAGCTGTCTTTTGAAGCCCAGATTGCTACATTTAGATACACAGAGAGACCCTTAATTATGGCAAGAATTGAAGGAAAAAATCTGTAGAAATTTTATTATAAACGTTTTAATCATTTTCCGCTTCAAAACATTGAAACGGAAGCAACTGAAAATTTTGATGATCAATTCCTAGAAAAGAACATAAAAAATAAATTGTCTAACACGTGTCCAAAACAGCTAGACTTTATTAAAAATTCACAAAAGTTAGAAAATCGGAAGAGGAAGTTGCCGGAGTGGGGAAAATTTCAGTTTGGAAATGTTATCGCCTATCAAAATGTTTCTATGCATTACTATGAAACTTTCGACACCATGAAACGTCACATCTGCGTCACATCGTAATTTTCAATCAATTTAATTTTTATTTGGAAATACCCCACCTCTTAAATTAAATTAATGAATTTGCAATAAAATTAAGAGTATTAAATTGATTAAAAACGGAACCGATTGTTAAAATTTATAGTTATTGAAAATGTAATGCTTGTCCCAATATTTAAAGAGGTTTTGTTATAAATAAAAAGGTATAATTTTGAATTAAATTAAAAATAAAAATCTATCAAATGCATAATTCGTTTTTCGCTGTTCAGGTTGCAGAAACGCTGAAAATCCGCGGCCTGGCCGACGTGAACGGTGAGCCGGAAGGGCACCACGCGCCCCCTCTGGCCGCCCTGCGCTCGCCAGGACCCACCCTGGAGTCGTCCCCGAAAAAATGCGGCAGCCCCGACGGCAACTCGTCGATCGCCGACGAGCCGCTGGCGCTGAAAATGCAGCAGCAGCGCCCCAAGAAGCGGCGCCGCGCGTCCGGCGGCGAAAAGAGTTCTTGCAGCAGCTCGGGCAGCCCCGACGACGGGGCCATGGGCGCCCCCGCAAACCCGGCCGCCATCCCCACCGTGCACCTCGAGCTGCTCGAGTCGATGGCCGGCGGCATGATGGAGCCGTCGGTGGCCGCCGCAATGGCCGCCTCCCTCGCCGGCCTCTCGCCCCAGGAGCACTGCCGCCAGCCGTCGGGCACCCCCGACTCCATGGTCGGCCTGCCGCCCCCGGCGCTCCACCCGCCTCCGCCGCCCCAGTCCGTCTCAGATGACCTCGAGATCAAGCCGGGCATCGCCGAGATGATCCTCGAGGAAGAAAGGGTGAGTACAGAAATTTTCAGCTCTGTTTTCCGGGGAATTTATGAAAAGAGCAAAATACAAAATGTGAGATAATTTTGTATTTAAAATCATATTTTTATAAGTTTACTTATTAAGAAAAAAGGATTAAAGTTCATTAAAATTAAGGAAAATTTATATTTTGTATAATTTTCCAAATTTAAAGTTTTTTTTATATATTATTTCATTTATTTCAAAACAAACAATCTGATTCCTTGTTTTATTGATATAGAACACAATTTATTTATTAATAAGTTTGTGCAACTTCATGTCACACATTGTGGTGAAAACTGAATGAAGTGAACCAATGTGGAAGTATGGCAATGTTTATGTCCTCAAAATTGAAATTTTAATTACTTTCTTAATTATTATTATTTATCTTTGTTATTAAATATTATTGGTATGAATACCTAATATTTACACATGGTGGAAAATAAGCTTAAAATAATGTCATTTTTAATACAACTTTTAATGTGTTTTGTCACTTCCGTTGCAAATTAGGTGTACTAAAAGGCAATCTCTGCCTATAACGAGTTACGTCATCCAAATATTTAAAATCAAGTGTGAGAACTCCTAATTTTGTCTTTATAATTGTTTTCTCTTAAATACAATTCGGTTTAAAAATCTGGAGTTAAATAATTAATGTTGGAATGTTTTTTTTTATGAAGAACTTCACATTGAAATATTCAATTTCATAGATCATTTTTAAAGTTTTGTAAATTTCTTCATGCGTTTCATGAGAAGAATTCATCTGAAACTACAAAAATATAAAATTCATGCAAATGTCTATTGAAAGGATTCCATTTTTTTTTGCAAATGAAGAGGAAAGATGCAACAGGAAGTGTTCGTTCGCGTCTCTCTCGCAGCAAGAATTAATCCGTTGCAGGCCTTTAATTAATCAAATCCTTCCTGAACGTGCCGGCGTTTTTTTTTTTGCACGAGAATGTTTTCCTTTGGCGGCAAAAACAACACAAGTTGAACTGCAGTCGAGTTGTACAAAGAGTTACTGACAGCACAATAAAATGCTGCGCGCGTGAAAATTCGCTGCTTGGCTCGTTTTGAAATAGCGCGGCGGCGGCGGCGGCAACGCGCCAGTTAATTATTTCCGCGAAGGGCCAGGGGAATCCTGTGCCGCGTTCCGACAAACGCAGTCTAGTAGAATCTGCGATCATTATGACGACGACGAGCATAAATATATCGCTCCCCTCGTCCCTGTTTAGGACTGTTTTTGTGCTTGTTGGACACATCACCTGTCCGGCGAGGTGTTTTGAACACGAAATTTGATTTTTATCAATTTTAAAAAAGCGATGGAAACTGCAATGACGAAACGACAGCGCTTTTATCATTTTTCATTATTATAGAAAACCGCTGTTCATTTTTCAATGTCAAATTTTGTTTAGAATTGTAACAAATAATTAAAACATTGCAAATTGAACAATTTAAATTTATATTTTACAGTAAATTATTTATATTTAATATATTTATTAAATTATTATTATATTTATTTATTTTTCATTTGTGAATAATAATATTAATAATTTAATTTTAATTGTGAATATCCTGCAATTTTTTTAAATCACTTTTTTATTAACTGTCACAAGTTTTACATTTTAATTTAAAATTTTTTTTTATATAATTGCAGTGAAACTCCACCAACTTTAATTTGAAATTACTCTGCATTAGTTGGTAATATGATGTTCTTATTTCGCTTTTTTCTTCAATTGCTGTTGATTACATGGTAAAATTGATGTAATTCAATAAAATCCAATTAAGATTAATTCATTTGAATAATTTCTATGAATATGTATGAAAGATGAACTGATTTTTACTCCAGTCAAGATAATTAATATTGATCTCCTTTTAAATGCATAAAACACTTGATTGGATATATAATGTAGTTCCACTTTTTGACTTGGAGAGCATTTTCGATATTATATTATATATTTTTTTTTAAATCAGCAAGTACTAAAAAAGAAACCCTAAAAACCGTTATATTAGATAAAAATGATCTGCAATTAGGTTGAAGCAAATTAAGTATAATAATGTCTGTAAATCACCATTTGTTTTCAATTTATTTATAAATTTAACTCCTTATTATTTTGGTCTTTTGAATCTTGCGATACTTTATTGTAAAAATATTCCTCTGAAATCAAAATTGTTGCATTTGGTTTGTTTTATCAACTCAAAAAGTTGTATAGTTTCTCAGTCGGTTTGATGTGAGAAGCACCATTGATTTTGTTGCATCACTCTATGTATCGTGGATGGTGTGCTCGTTTCTCCCCGCTTTTGCTTCAATTTCTCTCTGCCATATCTTTTTATACTTATTTTATCCTCTTCCGCTGTAATATTATGTGCTGCCATTAAATTATTCATCCCCACGCCGTGTATGGACGTGCATTTTCCATTTATTATATCGTCTGAGCCACATTAAAAATTTATAGCTCGAATTACATTGCCGATTGCATTATTAATAATTTCATAAATATCTTATTGCACACAGCGCCCGATATAAAAATTCATTCTTTTTAATAATGCATGCGAGCCTCTCCTCTCCACACCCCTCTGCCCCCTCGTGTGCTGCTGTTTCATTTTGCATATATAAAAAATTATCGGTATTCTATGCAAAACTTTTGTTCTTTTTTAAGCGCAGCGTGCAGGACGAGTCGATTATTTTTTTTGCAGAGTGAAATTCCATAATTAGATTTTAAATATTTATGATGGGAAAACTTTCTGAGAGAGAATTTCAGGCAAAAGTTTTATGCTTTTACAAGCGCAGTGAAAATTTCGAAAAAGGCGTTTTATTTTATAAATATATGAAAACTAATTCGACTCGGCGTGCTGTGGAAATTTATATGAAAAACGGACGAATATTTAGCTGTTATTATATTGATGAATAATTAAAACTTTAATTAAGCTGTGTTGAACGACGCTTAAACTTGGGCGCGCAGCGTTAGAAAATGAATTAAAAAGTTTTGCTGCTCTCTCGTCGGAAAGGAAAAGAGCTGCCGAGTGAAATATGAATTGGTTAAGAATAAAAGCGGCGCGCACGAAAAGCAAAAAGTTTGGCCCTGCTTCCTTCGTGGACACGTTTTTAATATTTAAAATGTGTCGGAAATTGGCGAATGCATGTTTCATGTCTCGCTGCGAAAAAGGACCTCGGTTCACGAATATCATCTCGGGCAGGAAGCAAATCCATGGAAAAAGGAGCAAAATTTGGAGATGCATACGTTTCTTTTACATCTATTTCTATTTCAAAAGTTGTACAGACTTGCATAAAGTTGTCCAAAGATATAATTTTTGATTTCTATAATTAAATTTGGATTAATCCTTTTTTTGTTTAAAATTTAAAGTATTCTAATTTATAATTTTGGTAGAATAAATTTTTGGAAATTCTATTTAACATTAAATCCAACCTCAAGTGTTAGCTTTCAATTTTATTAAATTTATATCCATTTTTAAAAATATCAAACAAGATTACAAGATACCAGATCAGGTCTCAAAAGAAAAGTTTCACATAAAATCTTTCTAGTTTACTTAAATACTGTATATATTTATTTATATTTTACTCTTGTTTTGTTTTAAAAAATCATGTTTAATCACACAAATTTTGTATTCTCTAGAGCAAAAATAAAGCATATATTATATGTATTAAAATTAAACAAAAACACTTTTTAAAATAAAAACTAAAATATTAAATTAATATTTTGTTTAAATTCATCTGGATCAAAAAAGTATTGTAAAAATAAATATTAAAAATATTACATTCAAATGTTGGATATATTAAATAGAAAAAATGGGGGGGGGGGGGTAAAAATTACATTTAAACAAACAATAATTGTAAAATTTATCTAAAATACGAAAACAAATTTTTACATAATTATATAACTCTGGGTATGGAAATGTTCCTGAAGAATTTTTATTTCCCCTCCCATTGTATGGAGCCCAGGAAAGTGCGCGTCAAATATTAATATTCACACATATACATATATTTCACAATATTATTCGTGCATCACTTTGATTGAAAAGTACCGAAGCTGCTGCGATACCATCTCTGCATAATTATTCTGCAGCGCTCGATACTTATGCTGTCTCTATTTAAAACACACGTGTGAGTTTCGCACTCGCGCGCAATATTATAATTATTCAGTCGTCGCTCAGACAGGCGTTTTAATAATTGTACTCGTCAGAACACGTTTCACATTTTCAAACTCACGTCAAAAATTTTCAGTTCGCAACACACACGGCATGCTTCAATCAATTGCATCGATCTTTCAAGTGATCAAATTGATTCAACTAAAAAATGATTTCCGTGAAAAATAAACAAAAGCGTCAAGATGCGTTTTTTTTCCTTTGCCAGGATGTATGCAAAAAATGCAGACGTGGCATATATTCTTGCCATATATGCTTGAGCTAGGGCATGTCATTATTTTTTCACGCACCCTTTGCAAAGTCATCACCATCATTTGAAATGATGAAGATCCGCCCCGCGCCATTATGCTCCCACACTCTCTCTCTCGCATGTTTTTTATTTTTTTTTATTTTTCATGGTAAACAAGAAAGAAAGAAAGACAGCGAGGCCGAAACTCGCTTGCATAAAAAAAAATAATCAGTTCTGCAAAAAATATTTCGGATTTGACTGAAAAATGAGAATCGCTCTCTCGATGATTATCTGCTGTGGATGTGTCACAATGCGCTGCGCCTGCCCGCGCCGTACACAAAAGTTCCCATTGTTTTCAAACCGTTTTTGTTCTGCATTGCTGCCGGCTGGAATATAATCATTTTTATATAATTTTATTCGACTGCCATTGCGATAAAACAAAAAAATATTATGGAAATCGTGGGAAAAATTTCAATAAAAATGGAATAAAATTTTACGTGGAAAATGATTTCAATTTTTATTTCCTCAAAGTGAATAAAAATTTACTGTTGCAAAATGTTTCAAAATCTTTTCTGACATCGCAAAGAGAGGAAAGACAATAACAATA